GGGGTTTTGGGGGCGCTCACCCCCTCGGATCCGCCCGGGCTCGGCGCTGCAGTCCCAGTCGATCCGGCTGATCTCGTAGTAGAGCTGTGCCACATACCTGGGGGGGCGTTTGGGGGGGTTCAGGGGGGGTTTTTGGGGTCTCACGGGGTGGGTTTGGGGGTCTCCGTGCCCACTCACACGTCAGGAAGAAGGCTGTGCTCCTCTTCCTCCTGCTGCTCCTGCTCCAGCTGCTGCAGCTGCTGCTGCAGCTCCTGCAGGGCTCGGCGCAGCGCCGTGGGGGGGTCAAGGCAAAATGGGCACCCAAAATCCCCCCCAGACCCCCCAAAATCCACCCCCAGAACCCCAAAATGGCCCCAAACCCCTTGAGACCCCCAACCCCACAGCCCCAGGACATTGGGGTTTGTTCCTGGCCCTTTCCAGCTCCTCCAGGGGCTGGAGCAGCACCGTGGGGGGGTCAAGGCAAAATGGGCACCAGAAACCCCCAAAATCCCCATCCCAGACCCCAAAATTCCACCCTAGACCCCCCAAATCCCCCCCAAACCCCTCGGGACCCCCAACCCTACAGCCTCGGGTCATTGGGGTTTGTCCCTGGCCCTCTCCAGCTCCTCCCAGGGGCTGGAGCAGCACCATGGGGGGGCCAAGGCAAAATGGGCACCCAAAAACCCCAAAATGTCCCCTAGACCCCCCAAAATCCACCCCCAGAACCCTAAAATCCCCCCTAGACCCCCCAAATCCCTCGGGACCCCCACCCTACATCCCCAGGATATTGGGGTTTGTCCCTGGCCCTCTCCAGCTCCTCCAGGGGATGCAGCAGAGCCATGAGGGGGTCAAGGCGGGGGCACAACAAACTCAGCACCCCAAAAACCCCAAAATCCTCATCTCAGACCCCCCAAATCCCCCCCGAATCCCTCGGGACCCCCAACCCTACAGCCCCAGGACATTGGGGTTTGTCCCTGGCCCTCTCCAGCTCCTCCAAGACCCGGTGCAGTACAATGGGGGGTTCAGGACAAACTCAGCACCCAAAAATCCCAAAATCCCCATCCCAGACCCCCTAAAATCCCCCCCTAGACCCCCCAAATCCACCCCCAGAACCCCAAAATGACCCCCAAACCCCTCGGGACCCCCAACCCTACCAAAACGGGGGCAAAATGGGGGCTGGGGGCAAAACAGGGGCAAAACGGGGACTGGGGGCACCCAGGGGGGCAAAACAGGGGCTGTGAGACACTGGGGGTTGTTTTGGGGTGGATTTTTGGGGTTATTTTGGGGTATTTTGGGTTATTTTGTCTCACCCACCCTGTGCCAGCTGCCGCGCCCGGCCCTGCGTGTTGCTGAGGGGTTTGGGGTGGATTTTTGGGGTTATTTTTGGCAGTTTTGTCTCACCCACCCTGTGCCAGCTGCCGTGCCCGGCCCTGCGTGTCGCGCAGGGTTTTGGGGTGGATTTTTGGGGTATTTTGGGCAGTTTTGGGGTGTTTTCTCTCACCCACCCTGTGCCAGCTGCCGCGCCCGGCCCTGCGTGTCGCGGAGGGGTTTGGGGTGGGTTTTTGGGGTTATTTTTGGGTATTTGGGGTCACCCACCCTGTGCCAGCTGCCGCGCCCGGCCCTGCGCGTCGCAGAGGGGTTTGGGGTGGATTTTTTGGGCTGTTTTTGGGTATTTTGGGTTATTTTGTCTCACCCACCCTGTACCAGCTGCTGTGCCCGGCCCTGCGTGTCGCGGAGGGGTTTGGGGTGGATTTTTGGGGTTATTTTTGGGTATTTTTGGTTATTTTCTCTCACCCACCCTGTGCCAGCTGCCGCGCCCGGCCCTGCGTGTCGCGCAGGCGCCGCTGCAGCCGCTCCCTGCGCTGCAGCCCCCGGCGCAGCAGCTCCTCGGTGCAGCCCGAGCTCAGCTCCCGCAGCAGCTCCTGGCTCAGCTCCTCCACCTCCTCCACCGGGGGGAAACTCCCGGGTGGTGCTGCTGCCTCCTGCCACGGGAACCGGGAATGGGAACGGGAACCGGGAATGGGAATGGGAACGGGAATGGGAACTGGGAACGGGAACCGGGAATGGGAACTGGGAACGGGAACCGGGAATGGGAACTGGGAACGGGAACCGGGAATGGGAACTGGGAATGGGAACTGGGAATGGGGAATGGGAACCGGGAATGGGAACCGGGAATGGGAACGGGAGTGGGAACCAGGAACGGGAACTGGGAACCGGGAATAGGGGAAATGGGGAGGGGAACCGGGAATGGGACAGGAACTGGGGAAAACGGGGATGGGAATGGGAACCAGGAACGGCCAGGAATGGGGGGAAACGGGGATGGGAATGGGACAGGAAACAGGAAGAAAACGGGGAGAAAATGGGGACAGGAATGGGAACGGGAATGGGAACCGGGAATGGGAACGGGAACGGGACAGGAATGGGACAGGAACGGAAGTGGGAATGGGACAGGGAACGGGGGGAAACGGGGAGAAAACAAGGATGGGAACGGGAATGGGGACAGGAACCGGGAACGGCCGGGAATGGGGGGAAAAGGGACAGGAACGGGACAGGGAATGGGACAGGAACGGGGGGAAATGGGGAGAAAACGGGGACGGGAATGGGAACGGGAATGGGGGAAACGGGGATGGGAACGGGGACAGGAATGGGGAGAAACGGGGAGGAAACAGGGACGGGAACAGGACAGGGAATGGGAACGGGAATGGGGGAAACGGGGATGGGAATGGGGGAGGGAACGGCAGGGAAACGGGAATGGAGAGAAACGGGGAGAAAACAGGGAGAAACGGGGACGGGAACAGGACAGGAACGGGACAAGGAATGGGGAGATAACGGGGATGGGAACGGGAAGAAATGGGGACAGGAATGGGAGAGGGGACGGGGAGATAACGGGGACGAGGGGAAACGGGGATGGGGAAATAACGGGGAGAGAGGGAAAAAACGGGAATGGAGAAAAAAACGGGGAGTGGGAGAAACAAACAAGGATGGAGAAAAAATGGGAATGGAGAGATAGGAGAGAATGGAGAAATATCCGAGAATGGAGAAACAATGGGAAAGGGGGAAAAAACGGGAAATGGGACAAATGTCAGGGAAGGGAGAGATGGCAGGGATGGAGAAAAGCCAGCAGTGCCAGGGAATGAGGACAAGGACGCTCAGCGCCGCCTTTTGCTGTAAAACCCAGCGGGCTCTGAGGGGAGAGCCCGGGGGCAGCGGGGCCTGAGGGAGGGGAGGGCGGTGACAGCCCCGGAGCCGCGCCGCGACCCCTGCCCGTCCCCAGGCCCAGCTCCCCGCCTGTTTTTTCCTGGTTTTTTCCCGTTTTTTCCCCGTTTTTTACCATTTTTTTGCGCTCTCCCTCAGGGCTCGCTCCCGCGCGCCGTTTGAACCGGGCGGGGCCGCTCCGCGCATGCGCGGCCGCGCCCCCCGCGCCCTCATTGGTTCCGCCTTTCCCCCCTCCTCAATGGTTTCGCCCGCCCCGTGTGTCCCCTCCAAACGCGTCCCGCCCGCCCCGCGGCCCCGCCGCTTTGGTTCCGGGCAGCGCGGAGCCTCTCCGGTGATGGCGGCGGCGGCGGCGGCGGCGGCCGGGGCGAGCCGCGGCTTCTGGCGGCGCCTGGGGGACACCCGGCTCGGTGAGGAGGCTCCCGGAGGCTCGCAGCGCGATGGGGATTTGCTGAGGGGGGCGCTCGGGGTCGTGCGGGGGTTCCGGTGGGGTGGGGGAGGGGCGATTCGGGGTCCCGGGGGGGTTCCCGTAACCCGGGGGGGTCTCGGGGGTCCCCAGCCCCTCCCGTTGTCCCGCTGTGTTCCGGCCTGGCCCCAGATTCGCTGTGACCCCCGTGACCCCCTTGACCACCCCGGTTCCCTCCGGTTCCTCCGTGACCCCCCGGTGGCCCCGTGACCCCCCTGACCCCTCCTGACCCCCCTGACCTCCCTCGTTGCCCCCGGTTCCCGTCCCCGGTTCCCATTCCTATTCCTGTTCCATTCCCGGTTCCCGTCCCCGGTTCCCCTGCTGTCCCCGGTTCCCCGGTAACCCCGTTCCATTCCCGCTCCCATTAACCCCGTTCCCGTTCCCGTTCCCGTTCCCAGTTCCTGTCCCCGTTTCCCGTTCCCGTCCCTGGTTCCCGTCCCGTTTCCCATTCCCGTTAACCCATTCCTGTCCCCCTTCCCATTCCCGGTTCCGTTCCCATTAACCCATTCCTGTCCCCGTTAACCCCTTCCCATTAACCCGTTCCCATCCCCATCCCCGGTTCCCATTCCCGTTAACCCATTCCCATTAACCCATTCCGGTTCCCATTCCCGTTTCCCATTCCCGGTTCCCGTTCCCGTTAACCCATTCCTGTCCCTGTTAACCCATTCCCATTCCCGTTCCCGTTAATCCCGTTAATCCCGTTTCCCGTTTCCCATTCCCCATCCCCTCCCATTAATTCCCATTAACCCGTTCCCATTCCCATTAACCCATTCCGGTTCCCATTAACCCGTTCCCGTCCCCAGTTCCCATCCCCATCCCCATCCCCGTTAACCCCTCCTGTCCCCGTTTCCCATCCCCGTTACCCCGTTCCCGTTAACCCCTTTAACCCCATCCCCGTTAACCCCTCCCGTCCCCGTTTCCCGCTCCCGTTAACCCATTCCCATTCCCGTTAACACCGTTAATCCATTCCCGCCCCCCTTCCCCATC